GGAACAGGAACATACATAATATCTTTCTATGTTCTCAAAAGTTTTAAATGTTGATTAACTATCGTAGACCCCAAAAGTGACAAAAGTAAATTATATGACAAAAAATCAAATCAAGTGACATTAATTTTAAAGAAAGAAGCACACAGATACTTTTCAAGCAAGATATTTAATTTTTAAGAGTTTATACAGGGAAAAGATGCAATTTAGATGCAATGTCTAGGACTATATATACTAAGACTGTAAGACTGGCATGTATATAGTGTATACACTAAAAACACGTGATCAAAAATTGCACTTTTTTTCTTGTTACACTAACTTTTAAAAATTTGTGGTTTGTATTTATTCCCTTTTTAAAGAAATAGACATAGGCGTCGATTTCAGTGGGGACACCAGATTTCGTCATTAGTCATTTTGTACCCACCACTTTTGGAAACATTGAGGCTCGGATGAACCTAATACAAAACTTAAGTAGCAGAGTATTAATTTAGTTCGCTCTTAAATAAGATCTAGCGCTAAAATGTTTTGTTTTTGAAATAAAGCTGAGCGCTTGTTGCCGCTGCTGTCAGTTGCATGGATACAGTGTTCTCTTGTGGCTTGCGCAGTCTTCATTTGGATTGAGTGTGCGCACTTCAGTCTATCGCCGTTGTGGAGACTCTAATCATTCTGGTGAAATCACGAAATAAAATGCACACAAACGTGTCCCTGCTTGATATAAACTGTAACCACTGATGAACATATTCGGTTTTGATGAGAGGAAAAAAAACTATACCGAGGGCGGATTCGAACCCGTAACCTCGGACACTCTTGGCAAAAGTTCTACCACTAGACCATTGAAAAATCAAGCAAATTTTTGACAAGTTTGTACCCAAAACTTTTGTAAATGCACTTCCGAATGCGTCTCTGTTTTCAGCACATTTCAAACCAAAGTGACGCCCGTGGAAATTGATAATATTATTAAGCAAAAGTGACAGTAAAACACATTTGCATTACAAAATATGTTTATGAAGGATCATGTTATACTAAAAGACTGGAGTAGTGCCTATTGAAAACTTAGCTTTGCCATCGCAGGAATTAAAAAAAAATATATAATATATATATATATATATCAAATTTCTATTTCACAATAATACTGTTTTTTTAATCAAATACATGGAGCCCTGGTGAGCATAAAAGACTTATTTCAAAAACATTCAAAAATATTACCGACCCCAAACTTTTAAACTGCAGTGTTTATTTAGACAGAAATTATTTAAACACATTATTTAAACACTAAATTTACTGTATATCAACTAAAAATAATCTTGATCAGTTAATTAACAGTAACCGCAAAACAACTATACATATATATGAAGTTAGTTCTGACAAAAGGTCAATGACATTCATACATTTTTATACAGTAATACAGTTAAGTGCAACATGTGCTGTCATATAGTTAACATAAAATTAGAACATTATAATTGTGTGCTTGGTGTAATCAGACTCTTAACAATTCAAAATGTTCATATCGGTGCATCCATAATTTTTTTGTGTGATTTTAATAACCAAAAATGTCTATTTTCTTTTTTTTAGGGGGTCACTGTGGATGACGTGAATAAAAAAAAAGAAAATCTACAGCAGCCTAATGTATACGGGTAGCTTATCAAGCAAAACTAAATAAGAATATTTTCATGCTCTGAAGACACTTCTTGGACAGCCGAGGATGAGAGGCGCTTCACTAGCTATACTGGAACATACCAGATCATAATCTCAGCATTCCTCTACAGCAGAGGGTCTTAACTTACATGCAAGGAAATGAAGAGTCAGTGCAATGGCAGCCGAGAGAGGGAGGAGGGGAGAGGCTCTCAGCGCCCACTTACTCCATGCCCCGCAATCCGCTCTCTTGCCCACCGGGCTCTTGATGTCAGACTCGCTGCTAGATGGGCTTGACGTCTGGACAGGCTTTGTCACAAAGGCCTGTGAAACATAAGTCGCGAAACGTTGCCTTAATGTCACTTGTTGAGAGAGACAGCATACTACATGAGCTGAAACCTTTCTGTCGCCCTACAACAACATATGTGTCGTATTTAATTGGCTTCCCCTCATCATTCTAAACATCTTTTCATTGGGAGGAAGGGGTCGCGGAACTAGGATATCCTGGTGGGATTCCCCTGTGGAGTCGCACAAAGCGTAATTTGAGGGTCTGCTTTCCCACGGCCTCTCTCCGCGGTGTCAGCACTCCATCTTTGACAAGCACATTCATGAGACCATCAAGACCAATGTTTAGACACAGGCAACCCCGTGGCCAAACTAAAAGGTTTAAGTTCATTATCACAGCTGAAATGAGCTTAAAATACCTTTTGTAAGTTTGCATAGGGGAGAGGTTAGTGTTGTAACACAGGGTGAGTTGGAACAGTTTAACCAATTAGAAACTATCATACACTCTCGAAAATAAAAGGTTTCCAGAGATGCCATAGAAGAACCATTGATTTCCCAAAATAACCTTTAAGTGAGCAGTTATTTAAAGAACCATTTTTACAGTGTGAAGAGCATTTAAAAAAAATACTTAAAAAAATATGGAAAAAAAAATATTTATAATATTTGACTATAAAATGACAACAGGTATGATATACAGTATAAATCAGCAGGTTATCTTGGATAATTGAATATATAACATCCAGGCAAGTTTTTCATCTATGCGTTAAAAAAAATAAAATAGTATCATTGCTGACCAGGATCAATGTAATACTAAATATTCACAGAATATATAGACATTTGCATCAACTGTGAGTAACTAATTTACATGTTTTGTCTATTTCAAAATTTTTCCAATTGCTGTTTTAGGTTAAAATGTGTCCTTAAAAGGAAGTGGTGATGAAAATAATACTATGCACATGATTTAAAACATCCATGTTTTCTTAGCTAGCTATATGTAGGTGGCAACAGCTGCACTAATTAAGACACAAATTTGCTACTAATTAAAATAGTTTAACCGAAGGCTATTTTAATATTATTCCCGAATCTGCTACAAAAATAAAATAGCCTACTTTAATATTAAAGTTTGAGACACAGCACTAAAAACACTGATAGACAGATGTTGAAACAATGTTTCCCTCAGGCTCACAAAACATAATTATGTATTCTGTAAGTAAGAATAAACACATTTTACAGAAGTCTAAAAGTGCTCGAAAGCATCATCACCGTGTATAATTCGCTAGACGCTGCGTCTGCGCGCGCGGTGCTGATGGAGGGTCGCTCCTACCTGTGCAGGTGCACCGGCGGGGGCGCAGGCTCCTAAACCAGAGACGCTGTAAACTTCGCAGCTCCTGTTTTTGGGAAAAGTCCTCATGGCCCGCTCTGTTATGGCTCCAATGCAGCGATACAGAACAATTCCTCGGGCAGAGAAATCAGCCCGGTACGTAGTGTGATCCCGGAGAAACCCGACCTGAGCGGGTCTGGCGCTGCGAGCAATCACTCTCCGTGTCTCTCCGTGAACAGGTGCTGCATGGCACCCAGCATGCACCGCGGCACAAAGGGAGCACTATGAGCAGGTACAATCCACACAGCCATCCGTGCGACAGAAATTGTGGGCAAACTTCTCCCGTGGTGTGCGTGTGCCATGGGCCACAATGGGCAGTCTGATGTTACATGATTAGAGAGTCATTAAATTAATCGCGATGAATGCATCATTAAAGCGACCCGACAGCTGGGGATGAAAAATAGCAGCGCATAGCTAAAATATTTGTTTAAAAAGAGTCAGTCTGGATGAAATATTTCCCTGTTGTTTCCCCCCGTGTCTCACGTTACGAGCCAGCGAGGCGTGCAGCCTGGGAACAAAGTAGACCCATATATCCGTGTGCTGCACACTGTATTTATTTCTCAATGACTCTACATTGGGACCTTTTCCGCCTTATGAGAGTATATTTACTTTATGCTTTGTCATTCTTGAGGTGGGTGGGGGTGTTTTTTTTATTTACAAGACACCATTTTCAACTAAAAACTGAAAATTTGTATGCGTTTTGGCCGTTCACGACACGTCGATGATGTCATGGCCTGTTTCTCTACAAGGTGACATCATCAACCGCTGACCTGGAATGCATAATACAGCGTTACAATTTTTGTTTTCATGAAGACAATACAATCATTTTCAAAAAACTTTTTTGAACACTTTGAAAAATGTTTTCAAAAGTTTAGAGTTTTCAGTGCCCCAAAACACTGTTGTCAACTAAAAAACGAATAAATATATTTTAGTTGAAATAAAATAAATAAATATATATATATATATATATTTTAAATAAAATAATGATTATACGAGGATCAGGCAACATATCACCATCTCATAGCCATCATTTACCTAATTATATGAAATATGGACAAATGGACATTAATTACTGATTTTCTTGCAACAAAACAAACACTGCAAAAACAATATTAAAAGCATTGTTTCATATAGACTATTATTATTAATAATGAACATATTTATCTACAAACTAGGCCTAACATATCTTCTTTTATTAAGCTCTCTCGTATCCAGCTCTTTGTGTCCAAGTCTTCCAAGGTTCAGAAACCAATACAGAAATCCATATGAAATGTTTATTAATTCTTGCCATGTATTGATATTAAAGTCTACCAAGGCCATTTTTAATATAGCCTAACTATTTTGAATCGGAATATGGTGCCAATGAGCTATAAAGAGCAATTTGCACTTAAAAACAGCTGTGTAAAAAGTGCAGCCCATATTTTGCCACGTGCAACAGTGAAACAGTATAGGCAACTAAGCCTAAGTAGATCGTAGAACCATTGGCACCAATGGTATATTATATTACAAACTATTATATTACATTTAATATAAAATGTGTGTGTCTGTGTGTATTATACTATATAGTATACATGTTAAACTTAAAAACACCAACAATAACTTTATTATTCAAAACAAATGTATTATAATGGTGTTACATGATTGAATGACCATTAAATAACACATTTAGTTGTTGTTTAGGTGAAAATGGCTTGTTTTAAATGAGTTAAGTTACAGACTGAATTATAAGGTGGATTTACTTGGCTTTGCATTTTAAATATGTCTTTGGATCCAATCTATGAACTTGGCCACTCTGGTGTAAACTCCGGGAAAGTTGGGTCTGCCACAGCCGGAACCCCAACTCACAATACCCGTCAGAAACCAGCGGCTGCCTGCGTGTGCTTGACAGGACAGAGGACCACCCGAATCCCCCTGCAATCAAAAACTGCTTATGTAAATATCCAAAGAGACAGCTCACTTCAAACAACGAGAAAGGTTAGTACTTTAATAATGCTCTGAAATTAGATAGGCTAAGCTTATGTTTGGTTCATGAGGCAGGACCAAGTCCAATGCCTGTTATCTCCCCTCACCCGGCAGGCATCTTGTTCTCCTGAGGCCACGCCAGCACACAGCATGCGAGGTGACACGGGGCTGTAGCTTCTCTTGCATTCACTCTGACTTAAAATGCTAACTTCTGCCTTCTGCAATACTGTGGGTGGCACCTTTTCTGTATAAACAGAGGAAAAATATGCTATTTCATTGTAATTTATTATAGACCTTTAAAATTGATTTCATTTTTCTAGTTACTCTCCTATTTTAAAGTTTGGGGTCTGTAAGACTGAATATTTTTTTCAGCAAGTGACAGTAATGACATTAATCTGTTACAAAAGATTTCCGTTTAAAATAACAACTGGTCTTTTCATCAAAGTTTTCACAAAAATAGGAAACAGCACAACTGTTGTCAATACTATTAATAAATCATGTGAGAGACTGGAGAAATTATACTGAAAATTCATCACAAGAATAAATTGCATTTAAAAAAATAATAAAGTAGATTTTAAATGGTTATACCATTTCAAAATATTAAAATTTTTACTGTATTTTCAATCAAATAAAAAAAATATTGTTGGTTTAACTTAACATTTTAAGGCAACCATGTTACTTAATTTTTTAAGTTGATTGAACTGGAAAAAGTGAGTTAATACAATGAAGGAGATTGATTTAATCATCAGAAACTCAAAATACTAAGTTATCTGAACTAAATAAAAGATTTAAGTTGATTTGACTAAAGAAAAAAATGTGATAACAAATCTTGAAAATAGTTTTACAGTGTGGTAAGCACAGGAAACTTATTATTTTTTTTTTTTAATTAAAAAATCTTTTTTTTAATCAGCTTTTGAACAGTAGTTTACACCATCTGTCATTGTTTTTTGAGCTCTTTACCCTGTTCAGAACGGTAACCCCAACCGGTGACCCAGCAGCGGTGCCCGTCAGTGAAGGTTTGAGAAGGGGCCGGCAGACAGATGGGCTTGATATATTGTTCCAGGCTGCTGGGCCAGGCCTTCTTCAACTGCACGAGGGCAATGTCATAGTCAAAATTTCTTGCATTGTAGAACTCATGAACCACAATTCGACGGATCTCGGCCACGTGCTTGGCATTCCCCTGGTTTAGCATGCCCAGATGAGCCATCCACATACGTGGATCTGACAACCTGAAAAATCACACATGCTCAAACTGCATTAAGAAATGTCATGGTTTACTTACCTGATAGTATAACTTTGATATTCAACAGTTTAGGTCTACCTGACGTTCCTCACCTCTCTTTGCTAAAACAGTGCGCTGCAGAAATGAGCCACTCATTAGAGAGGACCGATGCTCCGCAATACAGCTGACCGGAAAAATGCATGCTGACCTGCCACGGCCACTCTCCTTCCACCGCATTGATCCCACCTACAATGCGCTGTTGTGGGGAGGCGCTATCAAATATGCGCTTTAAAGGGGTGGGATTGCCACAGGCTACAAATCATATGGAAACAAATAAGACACAAGCAGATAAAAAAGTGTGTTAGTGTACACCCATCAAAAATGACTACGTAAGGATGTATAAATGTGTACACTGATACACTACCACTGGTCAAAAGAATTTTCAATGGAACAATAATTGAGAAATGAATTAGAATGATTGATGATCATGTGACACTGAAGACTGCTGAAAACTCAGCTTTGATTATTCCAAACATTGATAGTGCATAAACTGTTCAATCATGACAGGAGCATCTAATGAGCCAAATCCAATAAAACCAGAGAGCGTTTAGAAAGAGAATGAACCATGAACAAAGCTCAGCTTGTCTCCTGTAATCTCCCTCTGATTCAACTCCAACACACACCAATTACCAAACATAGTTTCAAGACAACCATTGTTAAAAGGTCAATAGATCATAATAATAGCAACAATATCATCATAGTATAAGGAGGATGTTTTAGGTTGAGTGGCTGGCAAGTCATAAAATGGTGGTCCTAAATTAACTTTTGGAGTCTCTTTGAAGGATGTGAAACTTAATTGATTTATAGCATCAATGTGAATCTTAAAGGCCACTAAAGTGCCTTGAAATGTGGAGTTTTATTCAATGTGTTGATGAAACAGGAACACAAGGCTGGACATATTGAACAGTTCCTCCTCTTTTTTTAAACAGCCAATAGCGTTTACGTTCACAGCTCGGCCAGAGTGGTTGAGCTCAGAAAAGCCGCTGTTTCTCTTAATCTCCTCTATATCGCTTTAAAATATAGCATTCTGTGCCGAATTCAAATGGATCCAATGCGTTTTCTGGAGAGCAAATCAAAGCGTGAGCAGGAAGAAAGTAAAAGTGCAAGCAAAAAATGTCAGCGAGAGCAAAAAACCTGATCATTTTATGTAAGATGTGTCTTTAATTTTTTGATTCGCGTATATTATTTTTAATTCTGTGACCGAAATACATTTGAAGTCAGATTGATTCCGTATTGATTCCTTGTATGGATTTGAAGCTACCATATTGGTGATTGTTTGGCTTAAAGGAGATTTTATTAGTAATAGTTAAATTTGAGAATAAAAGATTACTAATAAACGAATAAGAAAAACTCAAACAGACATAAATTGTATTTCGAGTTGGGCTAGTTCTGTCTGTCTACAAACCAATCTGACGAGTAACATGATGCTTTTGGATGTTGCCACTGTAAAACTCACCACAGTCCTTCTCATCACTTTGGTCGAAGCAGTCGGGTAAGCCATCACATTTTGCATTTTTCTTAAGAATGCAGGCTCCATTGTCACATTGGTAACTGACTCCAGAACAGCTAGTCTCTGCATAACCAACACATTAATGACTGTACAAACAATTGAGATTTATCAAAGTTTGATTTTTTTTTAATACTTTTCACATCACCTTGAGTACAGTTGGTCTCATCTTTACCACTGGAACAGTCCATCTCTCCATTACAGATGTATAATGGGTGCAAAGGGGACGAACCCCCACAGATTTTAGGAGGTTTAGCTGTCAGATAGATATCACAGACAATAAAATAGCGAATGTTCACATAAATACTATTTTGGAATATAGACATATTGTTGTAAACCAGTTCTCAACCTCTCTACCTTTCTCTCTTGCATTTAAGACAACATTCAAAGATCCTCCTATCTAAGCTGATATGTACCTCTAATACTACAAATAAATTCAACAATATGTTAGCATTTTAATTAAAATTGTCTTGATTTTGTTTTTGGGGACTACTAGACTAGGATATCATGTTTAAATGTTCATAAATCACATTATTTTCAAATATCTTATATTGTTGCAGCACCCATAGATGTATATATGCAGCACTCTATGAAGCCCAATAACTTCTGATTGGTCAGCAAGACCAGTGTGTTGTAATTGTTCAAGCGCCTTAAGTGCAAGTTTCAACATACTGCTAACACAACTAAACCTGGCCTCGCACCTTTTTGTGAATGCTTTGTGCGGGAATTATTTAAATTAGGAATATTGTGACATGTATATTCGCGGAAGAGAACTCAAGACTACAATCGAGGCATTTCAGGTTCATAACAGTGCTTATAGAGAATATTAGTTTGTTACATGTTTTACTATAGTAGAACTACTTGGATTACATGATTTTGTGGTTTACATACAACAAAAAATCTCATCGCTCTCATCCTGACAGTCATCCAATCCATCACAGCGCTTGGACTTTTCCACACACAGGCCTGTAGTGCACAAGAAGTGACTTTCTGGGCACGCTAGGAGAAACAAACAAGACCAGAGTACACCCATTTGGTGCCATGAGTCATTTTACTGGCATATAATTATAAATATCATTAGTTTGCTCGTAAGTCAGATTGTACTACTTAAGAAAAAGGACTATTTGTTCTCCATGTCCTTTGTTTCAGCAGCATTGTTCTTACGCTGACTGATGTTGTAACTGCTGTAAGTGGCACTGAAAGGTTGGTCAGCACTTCGTGAACTGCAGCGGAAAACCACTTCAGGCTTTTGAGCGGGAACACGGAAGACAGTTGAGTGGTCAATGTAATTTCCACAATATCTGTAAATCAATCACAGTTATTTCCATACCAGTTAACAAACGTTGAATATCAGACGTGATAAATATCACATACTGTCAACACTGAAGGAATAGTTATAGTAGTCATTATTTACTCACCATCATGTCTTTCTAAACCTGTTTGAACTTCTTATGTGTGACAAAAATTGTGTTTTATGGACCCTTTTTATGGCCCTTTTTTTGGTGTTTGGTCAGTGGGAACTATTGCTGTACGAAAAAGCGAATACATCTTAATTTTTTTTAAATTCATGTGCTCTCATAACGTTTAATCAAAATAACTTCCCTCTCTTGAAGCGACATCTCTTCTCTGATGATGTGTTTACTGGCGCGAAGGTCGGGACAACCTGTCGCTCACATGACATCACAGCAATAGAGTGTTGATGGAGTGTTGTGATGACGTCACTTTGTACGACAACTCGGAAACTAGCGGCGCATGGGTTCCCTCGATCGAAAAGCTATGCATTTTCCCCATAGACTTTTGGAGAATTGCAAAAAATAAGATCTGTGTTCAACAAAGAGTTGTGACCCTTACACGTTTTGTCTATCAAGATAATCTTTACAAGTTAATCCAAAATGTATACATTTTGAAGCCTATATAAAGTTTTAAAAAACCACAAGCAGGTTATAACTGGTGTGTTTTATGTCATAGATCAAAACGTGAAAATATTTAGAGGCTTTGTTAACTACAGACCTTATTTCAGGCGATTTAGTAAAAACCCATTCAAAAATCCAATAGACTTCAGAGCGAGGGAACAGGTAGTGCTAAAATGCTAACTCACTTCCGCGTTTTGGCCTACAGAGAGACGTCGTAACTTCGGCACTCTATAGCAAACCACAATTATCCAACGATCCAATAATTTCCTGATGGACAAAATCAAGTCGCGCCTTAAATTTGTTCCTGTTCAAGAAGCCATTTAACTCGGCTATACGTCACAATAGGGAAGAAAAGACTATCGCAACTTCCGTTTCATACCAATCAGTGAGTAAAAAATGACTTAACTATTCCTATAAGAAATAAAAAGTAGAAAAAATAAAAGAATACCTAAAGATAACTGACACAGAAATGAGGTGAAATGTACCTTTGACAAAGAACTTACATAATCTCATTGACTTTCCACCAGCCGTGTTCACAGTTTTGCAAGTCTTTTAGTTTAAGCATGTAGTTCTGGAACCTGAGAGCTACACCCAGAGCACCGCTGGGCATCTGATACATCAACAGCCAACAAAAAACACAGCTCTGTCACGCAAATATTGTGGATAATATCTCTACACATAATAAAATAAATAAAAATTCGATTGGGTGCAGTACCTGAAACATCCAGGAGCAGGAGCACTGACGGGGCAACAGATTGGGGTAGAATGGACTTGTTATCACTCCAGCATCACCTGGGCCAGCGGGTAACGCTATCATATTTATACACTCTGTATGGGAAAGACAAAAGAGGCTCAGCATCACCAGACACAAACATACAGATACTTTAGTCGAAGGACTCACGCTCCTCCATGAGAGCCTGGAAGAATCCTTGGAAGATCTTTCTGCCTTGTGTGAGTCTGAATGAGAGCAGCATGACATTGGAGGTGGAGACCAATGAGATTGGGGCTGACACTGATTCACAAAACCTTGAAGAGAATGCATGAGAATTACACTGATCATCTCAGATTATTTTTTCCTTTATTTCCCCAACCCAATCAAGACTGACTTCAAGATTTTTCTGACAAACCTGTAGAGAATCATGCCTCTCATAGGGAGCAGAGCGTCATACACGGTGAGGGAATCATAGATACAGTCACTAGGGTCAATACTCAAGCTGTTCACAGTGAGTCGGACGACTGACCCTTGAACACTTGTCAGTTTGATGTAGCAGCTCAAGCTTCCCCATGAAGAGAACACGTTGAGGGGAACACTCACATCAGGAACACCTGCGTACAGCTTATCCACACACTGAGAGCCTATACACACAGAGAGATGATTACAGATCCCATCAAACATTTTACAGAAACAAGATTCTGTTAATAATAATAATTCTTTGTTGTTCTTTGGTGTTTGTTGTAGGGTTGGGAAAAATCAGAATTTTATAGCAAATTTGAATTGAATTTGCATACAGGATTTGAAATGTATAAGTGAAATTGACTGAATTGCCATTCAAAGAAACTTCACAAATTGCATTAATCAGCTTGCTAAACATAAATACAATATTAATAAAACATTTCTTTCCAAAAAGGAAGATTTTTTATCTCTACGTATATTTGTCAACTATAAAATTGAACACTACCATTAAAACAGTTTTTAATTAAGATGTAATTGATTAATTAATAATTAAATCAATTAATTTGATAATTGCTTTTATAAAAACAAATATTGACATCCATTGCTTCATTTTAAAGACTAGGGTAAATTAGAGCTAGTAGGAAATGTCCTTACAACATAGTCCACAAAACGACATTCAATTAATGAAACAAAGAAATACGTGTGTGTATTGATCAAAAGTGACAGTAAATTTACAAAAGATTCATAAATATTTTGTAGAAGTCATTTAAATACTGTTTTTTAATCTTTCTTTTTATAAAATAATCTTTCTATGCAGCACAACTTCAACAATATAATAAGAAATGTTTCTTGAGCAGAAAATCCTGTTAGAATGATTTTTGAAGGATCATGTGACACTGAAGACTGGAGTAACGATGCTGAAATTTCAGGAATAAAATAAGTTTTAAAATATATGAAAATAGAAATGTTACAATTTAAAATAATCACAATATTTCTGTTTTTACTTTATTTTGAATAAAATAAATACAGTTTTGATGAGAATAAATTACTCTTTTTTTTTTTCAAAAAGTTTTTTTTTCTTCCCCAACCCAAGGCTTTTGAATGGTAAATGTACGTTAAGGTTCAAATTTTCTATAATGTAAATTCAATTTAAGTCAAGTTCTAGAATTGCAATTCAGTTCTAAATTGCACAAAACCCCGGTCATACTTAAATATCTGTCTGGTCTTGACTGACTCACCCACAGCTGTTGATGTGTAATCCGAGCGTAAAGCAACTGGGAAGACAATATACATAAATAAATTTATCATAATAATGCTTCTGAAGCTGAAATTCACACACACAAAAAAAAAAAGAAACATGCACACAACATTTAACATGGTGTAAAATTAGTTATTCACAAGGACTCATAAGAGTCTTGCTAAAAAAGGAGTAACAGTGGCTAAGATTACCATTGACAAGAATGGAGTCGATGTCCACAGGCAGGCCCTGCAGGAAGCCCACTGAAGACCTGTTCTTCAGACTCATAAGCACAGAGTCCCTGAGGATGGCACTCAAGCACTCCTCACACACTGCTGGAGTCTTCAGGTGCGGCACCACGAAGATCATCCAGAAATGCACCAGTACACCACCTTGATTATTATTACTGATGGGGTGAGAGGTAATTGTAACCATGTGACATGTAACCATCTCAATTGACCTAATGAAGTAAATCCATCTAGCAGAGTAGTACCTTAGATCAGAGATGACGGTTTGTTTGTAGAGTCTGGACACCGATGAAGTTCGGTATACGCTGGTTATCTTATTGGAAGATAAATATTAAAGTGATGTTGACAATGGCTTTTGAAGGCCTTTTATTCTAATGACATATTTTGCTGTGTCACTCACCACATGCTGTACGCGGTTAGCCATGGATACAAACTCACTCGAATCAGCATGCCTGTACTCTGGTATAAACTCCACGTTGGCAACACGGAACATACCAGCAAAATAAACACCACTGTTGCTCTCTCGCCGGACTACAAAATACATAGTGTGCACTTCAGTTAAATGATGTAGCCTATGTGGACATAACTTTGTATACCCTTGTGAAAAAGCATACTTTTAAAAGAAGGAAATCATTTACTTTAAAATAAACTTTTAAGTACTACCTGAATGTAATGATTTAATTTGACATTATTATAAAGTGCACTTTTTAAAAGTGTTTAAGAAACAGTACTTTTACTTTGAGTACACTTAAGTGGTCGTTCATTTCATTAATATTATCTGCGCATATATTTTTTCTAAATATACACTTAGATTATTATACTTGGATTACTTGTAAGTACAAGTCTACACAATTCAATAAAGTGCACTTCTTTTTCACAAGGGTATGTATATGAGTGTATTTGTTGAGCTTACATATAAAAACCCACAGAAGAGACCACATTATCACCACAATGACGAACACCACCACTGTAATGAGGATGGCCAGATTCTGTAGATCTAATATTGGGTTTTTCTTCTTTGGCTTTTTTGCTCTTCTTCTGCGTCTGTTGTATCTTCTGCATAGTTTATTAAGAGTTGCGTCCACCGTAGCCACTTCCACGGACACGTCAGCTACCTGAAACCACAGGTATGTATCACATTCTGACCTGATGCAATAAAGACACACTGGTGAAAAAAGCAAACACTGTTAGAGTCAAGTGTGATGACCTACCTGGATTATAGTAATTTGCATCATCATGAGTACCATCATAACTTTCATCAGTAACTTTCTGATAATTTTATTACACAATAGTCACAACAAGATTATATAAATGTTCTGCCACTAAAGTGCTGATGTCATTTCAGGACTCCAGATGTTTTACATTTCTTGAACAGAAAAGACGGCCTCACATTTTAATTGGCTCAAATGGAGAATGAGTGGGAAATCAGTGGCTTTGGATTTAAGGTGTGTGTTGTGTGGTCTTATCACAAACAGATATTATTGCATTGAGCGGTTTGAGTTACATGGTAAAGCCACTCAGTAATTCTGAGAGAGATCCAACTGGGTTACAAAATCCACCTAACTCTGAGTTCACAATGACTCATGGGCACTGCCTAAGTCATTTCTCACATAATACATTATTACAACCAATTACCACAATCTCTATTGTCCATCAACTTGATAGATGCATTTAAGGGTTTTATTGAGTATAAAACATATGAATATAGTTTTGTTTTTTTTTGCAAGAAATTTACCAGACAAGGATAAATATTTCTGAAAGGTAAGTTAGAATCATTTGTTTCGGTACCATCACAAATGACTCTCGCGTTCATTGAGGTTGTTCAGTCATGCATTATTTACATGATGTCATCCCATCTCTTTCGCCGTATTTAATTTACAACGAGGTAACACGGTATTTCCGAGGAAAATAAAGCTAAAATATTATTCAAAAACAATCAAGCGTTAAAATTTAATTTAATTTCGAAATGCCTCAAAACTATGTTGATGTACAAAAATAGCAGGTACAGTATGTGGACTATCTACAAAATGTAAACGATAAGAAAAACGTACAATGGCCCTGTCACAAAGAAAGAAAAAAAGAAAAAAAAGAGAGAGAGCGCAATGTTCTCACATAGATTTTTTTTTTTTTTTGCAAATCTTGGAGCAAACTTAATATATATATATATATATATATATATATATATATATATATATACATATTTTGCGTACACTTGACAGTCATTGGACGTTTTTAGTAAGAACCTGCTTTGTAGATAGTCCCAATCTTTCGCCAAGTTAGTAAGAACATACAGTTTGCAATCCATCGAGGCAGGTTACAACAAATAAACTGCGATCACTTATGATAGACTATTGAGATAAACCCACTTTCATGCAGTTATGTGCTTTATTCAAATCGTTAAGTAATTTTTTCGAGGCTTAGGCTATTTGAGAAATGTCAAACCAATAACTTCATAGCCGCCTCAAGAGAGGTCAAAATGGTTTTACTCACAGAAATCACCATACTGCAGTTTACGCCAAAAATAACTTAGTTACTGAAATAACGATTACAATAAAATTATAGAATTTACCACATAAAAAAAACCCATTTATTTAGTGTTGCATCAAAAATAGGCTGCTAAACTAAATAAACATTGTTTCTTTATTTGAAAGATAGATTTTTCAGTAAATAACAAGTACTCAAGTGGCTTTTACTAAGTGCCTATTGACTACTATAACAAAATGTGTTATTTTGGTTTATCTAGGTTTACCATGGTGATATTCAAAGTATTAATTACTCACACTTGTGGCGTCTTCCCGGGCCGCATCATCCTCGCTCCCCTTCCCACCTTCCTCTCGCGCAGTGTCCATGGCATACAGTCATTCATTTGGACCGGTAATCTCAAATGCTGGTAGGCCTACCCTGCATTGTTAAAACAGTTTTCCCTAAAATACCTGTCTGTAACCACGACGTGAATGTGAGCAGCGGAATAAAGGCAAACGACACGAGCAGCTTCGTTTCCACCTAACAGTGTGTAACTGTATCCTGGCAGGTGTGCAGACAGTGAGCCCTGTGTTCAGTTATCCTATAGATGCATTCAACCTCTTTGAATAAAGATATAGAAAATGTTGAAACACATGCAACTTAGATTAAAATTTTTTAACATTCAGGCACAGACTGTGAATATTTGGTTCAACTTTATTTACAGAACATATAGGTTAGTGTTTGCCGCTTTATTTTTTACACCGTTCAAGGCTCCAGCCTCATGGATTGGAAAGCAATAAAATTATTTAGTCATGTAGCTAAAAATCTGAATATAACTCATAAAATACATTTTGTGTAAGACGGCGAATGGGAGAAAACCAAAGGGAAGCAGCTTTTTTCACAAAAAGATAAACACTTCCCATACTAACACACTGACTTAGTTAAGGCTAAATAATGAGCCTTTATACTAAGGCACACGTCATTTACACATACCTGCTTATACGTATATAAGTATACATATTTGTGTATGCATTTCAGTATGACATAAAAACAGAAAGTGTCTCTGTCATTTCCTGAAGAGGGCACTGCGTGCAAGTGAGTACAACAGATGAGAGGGTTTCTTCTTAGGCTCTGCTAAAGAGAAGACCTGCTGCTGGGGGATGCTGGTTGGCACGGTCACATGTCGCTGATGGAGAGGATGTAGGGGCTGATGGTGGGGAGGAACAGGATGACCAGAATAATTCGTTTCTGGAAGCAGACAGACACTGAATGTGAAAATTGAAAATCGTTTCACTTGATAAGACCCTTATTCATCATCTGGAATCGTTTAAAGCCCTTTGAACAGTTTGCAGTTTGCAATGAAACTGTCTTTTGGACCTTGAACCGTTTGGTTACCAGTAAAGTGCATTATATGGAGAAAAATCCTGGAATGTTTTCGTCAAAAACCTTAATTTCTTTTCGACTGAAGAAAGAAAGACATGGATATCTTGGATGACATGGGGGTGAGTAAATTATCAGCAAAAGTTTTTTTTAAAAGTGAACAACTCCTTTAAGATAAAAACTAAAACTGAAACTAGAAAACAAATTATAACTATCAATGAAAACAAAATTAAAAATGAGAAATAAAATGAAAATATGATCGAAATAAATACTACATTTAAAAAACTACCCGCACAAAGATAGTTTGAAAGCCTGGACGTACTTTTCATTTTGCCTTGTTTAGATTTCCTGGCGTTGTGAACTGCTTGCTTCCTCTGGGCCTCAGTGATCTCCATCCCTGAAAAGAGGCCAAAAAAAGAAAAAAAAGAAAAGAGAAAATGGCACACTTTGAATACACTGGTATATTCCCATCCTTACAGATGCCTTCAGCCGTGAGACTCACCCATCTCTTGGTCTTCCTGTACCCGTCTGCGCTCTTGAGCAAACGCTTGGAGCCATTTCTGCTTGTCCTGGCTCTTCTTGCAGCTCAGCACACACAGCACGTTCAGGTTCTCCGCATGCCGTAGCAGAAACGCGTTCTTCAGCTGGCCCAGCTCAGCGTGCCGTCCATCAGGCAGGTCGATCGGCTCGAGTAGGTCTGTGTCCATACGGCCACGGTAGTGTAGCAGGTCTCTCCGCAGGACGTCTTTCTTACAGAACACCAGCTGGTGGTCAAACAGGAAGTAGCTGCGTTGCTGCGTCTTACCGGGTCGTACTAGCCGCGTGAGCTCGCCGGAGTGGATGAGCTCGGAGCTTCGCGTTAACACATCATCACCCTAAAGGAAGCGAAAGAAGGATTGCTTTGAACAGCTTGTTTGAAACTTGAAATTATTATTCTATAAATTGTACACAAAGCCACAGTTAGCCCTGTGAATGACCCAGCGTATTGACTAATAAGTAATCTAATAAACAGATCAACGTGGTATCCAATTAACATCTTATTGCATTAGACACGCACACCACGTCTGCCAAATCAAATTTCTTTATACAAAAAGATCAGAGAGGATATGGCTGCTACCTTGAATAATTCAGAAATAAAGAGTAATGTTGACCACAGTGTAGATATGTGTTGTCACTGACCGCCCAGTGGAGGATGGCCACCTGCCAGTGAGCGATGGTGTCGATGCTCTCAAGTCTCCTTTTTCCCTCATTTATCAAACTTGCCACGTTCTTCATTGCTTTATGTGCGGCACACACCCCTTCGTGGTCACTGAGGAGAATTTTATTATTATTATTATTATCATTTTGATATAAAAACTTACAAATATACACAATAAATTTCAGGTCAGTAAGAATTTGTTTTTTTCCTAAAGAAATGTATACTTTTATTCAGCAAGGACACATTAAGTTGATCAAAAGTGACAGTTATCAAATTAGTATTAAACAGCACAACTGTTCAACACTGATAATAAGAAATGTTTCTTGAGCAGCATATTAGAATGATTTCTGAAGGATCATGTGACACTGAAGACTTGAATAATGATGCTACAAATTTCAACTTTGACATCACAGTAATAAATTATTTAAAAAATCTAAATAGAAAACAGTTATTTTAATTTGTAATAATATTTCAGGATATTGCTGAGAGCATAATACACTTTTTCAAAAATCATACCAACCCCCAACTTTTTGAACGGTAGTGTTTTTAAGACAATGAGCTACCTGTGGTCTTTGGGTGTGTATTTCAAAAGCTCTCCCAGCTGAAGAGGGTATTTACAAATCTTCTGTACAGGTGTGAGTAAGAAGCCAGAAATAGAGATGTCGATCATCTGCTGTAGGAGACGACAGGATTCAAAGAAGTGTTTATATCTCCCTTGTTTCATCAATCGCTGTAATTCGGCACACGCCACAGGATGCGTGTTACAGTACTCAGAGTATATGGAGAAACCTTCCTCCTGACAGAGAGAAAAAGAAATGTAAAGAAATGCGTGCAATTTGTGAGGAGAACGTTCTTGTACGTGTAAAGGTACCTGTTGAAGGAAGCAGGAGCCAATCTCACTTAGATGAGGATTTTCACTGTTGTATTTCTTTTCTAGGTCCTTGAGAAACATTCTCTGGAACCTGTAGATGTCCTCGATGTTGCTGAAGATTGTCTTTAGCTGTGCTTCAGTAAACATGCCAGGGTGTTTCCTGCATTGACGGATATATCCCTAAAACAACAAAATGAACATACTCGTTTTAGAGATTTTTGCTTTGGAAAGTTTTCCTTCACTTCACAATTATTTTAAGCATTTTACCAGCAGAGGTCAGCAATGAGAAAGGTTCCATTTTCGGTTACTATTATGCAAATTTGAAGTTTGTACAGAACACCCAGAGGACATTTATTAATGTGAGCCATTTACTTCTGAGTTTACTGCATGCAACTCAGTACAAACTCATTAATGAAAGTAAAAGAAACAAATAAAAAAAGCAATATGATGAAGTCACATGATCACACTTTATCATACTGCTGTGAAACTACCTTATATGCAATGGTGTAAAGGACTAAAAAAATACTCATCATCTTCATCATAATACTTAAGTATTGAAACCTCTCTTCAAAAGTTTGGGGTCGGTGACATTTTTTTTTTTTTAATGTTTTTGAAAAAATAGTCTCTTATGCTCTCCATGGCAGTAAAAACAGTAATACAAATATTATTACATTTTAAAAATAACTAAAAATAAATAGATACATTTCTATTTTACTGTGTTTTTGGTGCCCAAGAAACATATCTATTGACAATTGTTGTGCTGGTTAATTTTTTTTTGTGGAAACCATGAATTTCTTTTCTTTTCAAGAATCTCTGATGGAAAGAAAGTTTCTAAAGTATTTAAAAAAAATTGATTTGTAAATACATAATGTTTACTTTCACTTTTAATTAATTGAATGCATACTTGCTGAATAAAAGTATTAATTTCTTTCAAAAACAAAATATGAACGACCAAAAAAATGTCTAATAGTATTCCTGCTTTCCTCTAGGGTGGAGTTACTACTCCCAGTACTACACCTATACTCGGAGATAATTTTATCTTGAAAGAAGGCAAACATGTTTCAACCATAATCTCATATTTAAAATGATAAGCTGATTACCATTCAGGCTAAATTGACGAAGGGTTCCTTTATGATGCATGTACACAGACCAATAAACAAACTACAGAAGGTGGTCAACGTGAAATGGCTTGGAAGGAGGCTCACCTCGCAGATATCTTTGAGATGTTTTATGTAAATGCGCTCTGTGTCCATGATCTCTTTGACCACATTAGCTCTCATCTGCTTCCTGTGCTCTGAGTTTTGTTTGTGTGCGTCTGATGGGACCGACTCTTCCGCATCTGGAACGCTCTCCACGCTGTCACTGCTCGAATCCCCCTGATTCACTCGAACCTTGACGACAACAAATCATTACAGTCAATTTCAGTGGATCAAACTGAGGTTAACCATGAGCAACACAATTTTAATACAACAATCAACTGTGATTGAGGCAACTAGTTAATCCGCTTTTACAGGAAGTTTAGATCAAATCACCTACGGCCTCTTTGTGTCTGATTGACTCATCTCGTTGGATCTTGAAAGAGTCATCGATTTACAATGGAATGCATTAATCTAGAGCTGAAAAAATAAAACACCATTCTGTACACCCTCATTTCCTCCAAACCAGTCAATCAGCAGCACATGCATTCATAATGACACATCCATTTCATTTTGGGTCTCACCTGGAGCAACTGTGAAGGGCCATGATATAGTTCAAGCGAAATTTTAAAAAATGAACTGTTCTAATATAATTTTAAACTAAATCAGGCCAAAACAAAAAATTGTTCCAGGAGCTTTCCGAAGTAAACTTTCTTGAAAAGTAAACATCTTGAGCACAAAGATGAGCATATCCAATGTCCATCCAGAAAATCCTTTATATTTTTCTTCTTCTCAGTAACATTTAGATAGTTAAAATCGGACCAAACGGCAACATAAAAAGAACTAGCTAAGGTAGCTGATTACCTTAAAAGTCCATAGATATCGCCGTCAGTTTGTACCGCCGTTAACTTTCTCCGACAAGTGGATTCAATGAGACCTGTTTTCCTGTTTGTTCATGTGACGTTCGGCATAAAGCCCATTCTAATTGAAGGAGACACTGACACTCTCTTCTCATGTTTAATAGTGTAAAGCT